TGTTTCTCTCCAGTTTGATCAACTGCATTAAATTTATTTTTCCTTTCTGCATCTTTTGCTTATTTTGTAGCTAGGGACGTGGGTTGGGGGAGCTGAATGCAGCCAGCTGGAATGAAGGCAGTTTCTTGGCTTGCCTGCCAGTAACAACTGGATAACAAAAAGCAATTGCTATATGGTGTCCCCAGGAGACACACTTTAGTTCAAACACAGCTACAAATTAGAAGTAAAAGAATAGGAAAAGCCAGCAGCAACATTGAAAACTGGGAATTTGCTATCAGAAAAAGTAAACTTTAATACAAAAAAAATATTACTGGAGGTAAAAAAAAGGATATTTTAGAATGATAAAGGATCAATCTATCAGGAGACAAAACAATTAAAAACATACATGCACCTAAGAACAAAGCACCAAAAATACATGAAGCAAAAAAAAAAAAAAAGTAGCATTAAAGAAAAACAGATACTTCAAAAATAATAGCTGAAGACTTCAATATTCCCACTTAAAATAATGGATAGAATGGGGCAGAATATCAACAAGGCAAAAGGAGACAGATGCATCACTCTAAGCCACCCAGTCTCTACAGACACCCTCAGAACACTCCACCCAGCAACAGAATGCATTCTTCCCAAGTGCACATAGAACAGCCTCCAGGACAGCCCACGTGCTCTGAAGCAAACCACAATCAGTTTAGAAGGGATGAATAATACAAATTTTCTCTTACCACAATGGAATAAAGTTAGAAATCATTAAAAGATATTTGGAAAATTCACAAATAAGTGGGTAGTAAACAACACACTCCTCAACAACCAGTGGGTCAAAGAGGAAATCACATGAAGAATAAGAAGATACTCTGTGATAAATGAAAATAAAGACACAACATACTAAAACTTATGGGATGCAGTTTTGTGGGAAATTCCTGGCTGCAAACATCTTAACTGAAAAGGAAAGGTTACAAGATTAGTAACCTAATCTTCTACCTCAAGAAAAAAGAAAAAGAACAAACTAAACCCAAAGCAAGATCATGGGAGGAAATTATAAAAGTCAGAGTGGAAAACCAAGCAAGGACTTGAAGAAGTATTTGCAAACCCATATTCATAGCACCACTACTCACAGTAGCCCAAAAGTAGAAGCATCCCCATTGATGAATGGATGACAGACAAATGTGGTATATCCATACAATGAAATATTACTCAGCCTTAAAAATAAAGGAAATTCAATAAAGGTATTGTGTCCAACTACAACTTAAACAAAAAAATAAAAAATAAAATAAATGAAATTCTGACACCTGCTAAGATGTGGATACACCACGGGGACATTATACTAAGTGAAATGAGCCCTGAAGACAAATACGGTATGATTCCACTTCTATGAGGCATCTAGAGAAGTCAAACTCAGAGACAGAAAGTGAAATAGTGATCACCAGGGGTGGAGAGGGGAAAAGGGGGGTTGATTAAGGGGCTCAGAGTCAGTTTTACAAGATTAAAAAAAATAGTTCTGGGAATGACAGTTGTGATGTTAGCACAACACTGTGAATGTATTTAATACACTTAAAAATGGTTAGGATGATACATTTTATGTTATGTGTATTTTACCATAATTTTTTAAAAGGTTACAGTGGAATTCAGCATTAAAAGAGAATGAAATCATGACATTTGCAGGGAAATGGATGGAGTTGGAGAATATAATGCTAAGTGAAGTTAGCCAATCCCCAAAGAACCAAATGCTGAATGTTTTCTCTGATTTAAGGATACTGATTCATAATGGGGTTGTGGGGGGGCATGGGAGGAATGAACTTTAGATAGATAGGGAAAAGGGGAGGAAAAGACGGTGGAATGAGATGGACATCATTACCTCAAGTACATGTGTGAAGACATGAATGTGTGACTCCACTTTGTGTATAACCAAAGATATGAAAAATTGTGCTCTATATGGGTAATATGAATTGTAATGCATTCTGCTGTCATACGTAAACAAATTAAAATTTAAAAAAATTAAAAAACAAAAAGATTAGGGTGGAAAGCAATGAAACAGAGAACAGAAAAACAACAGAGAAAATCAACTAAATCAAAAGTTGGTTCTTGGAAAAGTTCAACAAAATTGGCAAACCTTTAGTTAGTTAGATCAGTCCAAGAAAAGAGAGAAAACTCAAATTACAAGAATCAGAAATGGAAGCGGGCGACATTATTATTGACCTTACAGAAATAAAAAGGATTATAAGAGAACAATTGTAAGCCAATAAATTAGATAAGTTAGATGAAACAGACAAAATCCTAGAAATACACAAACTGTAGTAACTGAATCAAGAAGGAATACACAATCAGAACAGATCCAGAACAAGAGATGGAATTAGTCATCAAAAATCTCCCCACAAAAGGAAAGCCCAAGCTCAAAGGGCTTCAGAGGTGAATTCTACCAGACCTCGAAAGGAGAATTAATGATCACTCTCCTCAGTCTCATCCGGAGACTAGAACATGATAGAACACTTCCCAAATCACAGAAACGGGCACACGTGACAAGGATGAACCTGGAGAATGTCATGCTCAGTGAAGAAGGCCATGTTATTATATCACTCCATTTCTCTAGAGGGAGAGAAAGGAGGTGAGCCGATGTGGTGGGGATGGATGATCAGGAGAGGATTCCTCACGAGTATGAAGCTCTTTTTCTGAGTTGAAAAACAGATTCTGAGACTGATGGTCATGGTTTACACAACCCTGAGTGCATTAAAAATCACTGAACTATGCATCTCAAATGGGTAAATTATATGGTGAATGGATTCTGTCTCATTAAGGCTGTTACCGAAAAAAGAACATTCTAGAATCTTTTTCATATTATTTATGTCAAACTCATAGAATCGTTCATTTGAAACACAGGCTTCCTTCCATGGCTTATAAAAGCCTTGTAAACCCATTCCCTTCCTTCAGGAGCACTTGTGCTGAGCACTTGCTGGGTAAGTGTCTTGGGTGGGTGTCAGACAGCAGGGTGTTCAGGGACGAATCTAGCCCAATGCCAATCCTGTAGCTTGTGGTCAGGTGAGGTGGCATGGACAGAGTCCAATTAAACCCAGCCTTGCCAAACTACCTAGTACCTTGCAAGATAAGATAGGTACACTTTTCAAGGTGACCCAAAGAAGAAATAAATTATGCTAGTCAGCATTTATTTAGTGCTTCCTGTATACAGGGCACCATGCTAGGCATTTCCTTGCATCCTCAAGCACTTGTGTGGGAGAGTGTTCCCACTAGTCCCATTGGACAGGGGACGAGAGGAAGACTGCGAACCTCTGTCGTTCCACCCCTTGTGAAGTGGGTAGGGGATCCCTGGGCCTTCAGGGTCCTGGGCAGAATCAGGTTTTGGATGGGGCCAGGAAAAGGTCTCAGCCAGCTCAAGAAAGAGACTGAGGCTCCATAGACGGGGAGACTCAGCTTGGAGTGGCACGGGTGTTCAGGAAGGCAGGGCACAGAGGCCCCATGAGCAGAGACCTCATACCTGTCCTACCCCTTCCCCAATGCTTCATCTCTTGGAGACTCAGCTGTGAAATGGGACCACTACTCCTACTTCTGACATTGAATTAAGAGATAATGATCCATATACAGGAAGAACCAGAGTTAGCATTAGGCTGGGAAGGGAGGGACGCTCTGCCCCAGCTTTTAAAAGACACTGGCCTGCCCAGGTGAGAATCCAGCTACTCCACTGAGTAGCTCAATGATCACAGTGCATGAGTTCCTTACCTGCCCCTTTGTCCCCATCTACCCAGAGAACCCTGGCAGTGGGGGTCAATCTCTGCAGGGAGCCCCTCATGCCAAGGGCCTCTTGCTTACTGCATCTGTTCAGAGACAGGGCCCAGAGGCGGGGTACCAGGTCTTGAGGATGGCACTGTGGGCCAGCTCCCACTGTGTGGGATCCAGGTCAGGGGAACACATCACCTGGGGATCTTACCCAGTGAGGTCTGGGTGGGTCTGGGACTCGTGGGTTTTGGCAAGCCCCAGGAAATACTGGTGCTGTGGTCCGTGGGCTGCACTCTGAGAAGCCAGGACCCGAAGCCTGGGATGGCCATTCCTGAGAAGAGCTTGGTGTGTGTGACAGCAACAAGTGCAGATCAGCCTCCTGTGGCTCTGGACCCAGTCCTACACGGCCACAGTTGACTCCCAAAATCTGGAAGGTAATACTACGTGGACCTGCTGAGTCTCCAGGACTCCATTTCTACTACATTCATCAAATCTAACTAGCATCGCATTATAAAATAATTGGAAAATATGAAAAAAACAGGGGGAAAAATCACCGTTAATCTCACACCGTATTTTAAAAGACAGCTGCTGACTGCTTCCCCCAGGATCCCAAAGCCACATCTATGGAAGATTTGGGATCTGCCCCAGAGGTCCCACTTCATCTCTGCGAAGCACTGGGTAAGGGGGGGCACTCCCCAGCACCCTCCATGTCCTGGCTCCCATGTACCCCAAGAGAGATGCCCAATCCCTTGGTGCCTGAGCCTTCCCAGACCTGTCTGGGGAATGGAGAGTGGGGCAGGACCCCCTTCCCTCATCTTTGCAGGCTGAGGAGGCAGAGGTGGGGTCCGAGGAGGGGGTGCACATCTGGCTTCCTGGCCAGGAGCCCACATTCCTTCCGAGTGAGTGTGAGCAGATGGGGCCTCCAGAGAGCTATGAGGAGGCTGTTGGCCCCGTCCTGCCCCACCGTAATGGGACCCACCCTGCAGGAGCTGGTGGAGACAAAAAGGCGCAAAACCTCATTTGGGGGCCCAGTTTGGGTCCAGGATCCCCCACTCATTTCCGCCCAGCTAGTTAGGCCCAAGCTGGGCCTCTGTTCCATCCGCACCAGCAGCCTTGTCTCAGCAAGAGCAGGGGGGACAAAATGGTGGTGACCAGAGGGCCATGGGGCCACTCTCTGAAGGGAGGGCTCCTGGGGAGGCCACTGTGCCTGCCCACAGGCCAGAGCTGCCCCAGGTCAGCAAGGGAGCCTGAGAGCCCTCCCCCAGTCAGGGCTGCCTTACCTGGGGGCAGTCCTTGATGTAGTGTCCTTTGTTGAAGCACAGGTGGCACAAGTAGTTGGGTGGGGGCCGCTTGCTGGGCTTGCGGGCCTCAGAGGTGAGGGTCAGGTCCGAGAAGTGCTCAGTGAGGGAGCTGAGGCCGTCGGCGATGTTGTTGAGGGAGCCGTAGGGCGAGGCGCTCTTGTAGGCGCTACTGCTCAGGGCCTGCGGAGGACAGAGGAGTGGGTCGCGGAGGCAGCCAGGGAGGAGGTTTCCATGGCCCAACACACCCACACCCACTCCCCCCCCCATACACACACCACACACACACACACACACACACACACACACCACACACATACACACACACACACACATGAGCTTATGCAGAGCCTTCAGCTGCCCAAAGGCTCTGGCCCCCGAGTCCAGATCCGGAATTGTGTGTCCTAAGATGAGCCAGTGACCCCCCATGGGGCGACGGTGGCTCTGCTACACAATGGGCCCAACCAATGACAGCCATCTCCCAGGGTTTCTAAAAGGCTAAAATGAGGTCAGAAATGTTTGACCCCAAGCCAGGCACTTAGGAACCACTCAGTACACAGTGATGATCACAGTGACCATTATTATCATTATTACAATTAATTCTCCTTTACGCACCGTCACAAGGTAGGAAGGTGGTGTAGAAAGCAACCTGTTAGATTTGGGGATCTGCCACTGGCTGGCAGAGGAACTTTGGTTGAGTCATGCTGACTCGGTTTCCCCATCTTGTAAGGAAGAGGCATTGCAGCCGACAGCGTGGTTTCCATTTTACAGGGGTCTGAGCCCCACTTGGCCTCCTGTGGCCAGAAGCCTTTAGTCTGTGTCTGGGAGCTCGGCGGGGCTCAGGCCACCACTCAGAGAGCCCCAGGAGGGAAGCGGCCCACCTCTCCCACCCCCAGAAGACAGGAACCAGACCTGCCACTGAGCTTCAAAGCAGAGGCGGCCAGGCCCCTCCTGGTGTATACAGCCTCTATTTATAGGAGTCCCAGGCTCCGGGCGGCCTGGCACACCGGAATTTAGAGAAGGTGGGGCCCTGCGGTGAGGCTGGCATGGATGGGCCATGGGTCCCCTTGCCTACAGAAAGGCCAAGGCTAGAAAGAGGGAGATTCTACAGGCGGCCCGAAGACCAACCTGGGCATGGGGCTGGGCACCCCTTGGCTCCAACACAGGTGCCCAGGAACTTGCAAGGGTAAGCTGTGATCCTGGGGAGCCTTGGATCTGATGGGGGGATGAGGACTTGTCCTTGGGAGTCTTCAAGCTGATGGGGAAGCAGGGCCCCTGGAAGGAGGAGCCTCGAGCTCCCTGACAAAGATAGGACACATAGCAGCCCAGGGTGGGGACAGTCCTTTTTGTGCCCCCCTCAGTGTAGGAGGGGGAAGGAGGAGAGTTGAGAGCTATGCTGAAGGCATGGGCCACACCCTCCTCTGTCCCTCATCCCCAGTACAGCTCCTCACCTCCTCATCTCACTCTCTACAGTGTCCATCTTTAGAGGTCTGTTTCTCCCCTCTTAGAAGACAAAACCCCCATCAATTGGGTGCCACTATTGATCTTGGTCCCTCAGGACACTATGCTGTGTGACTGTGGGATGACCCTTGCCCTCTCTGGACCTCTGTCCCTTTTATAAAGTTTTGCATCAGATCCTGGCACATAGAAGGAAAGACACAGATGCCATACCTGGAGCAGCCCGGGCCCCCACATAACCATCCTACAGTGACTGGAAAACAGAGCTCAATGGGTCCTGACACCCCAACTCTGTCCTACCATCAGGACAGCCAGGACAGCAGACAATGCCACACCAGCCAGCATTTTCCAGAGTGCCTCTTCCTTTTTCAGATGAGCCTAAAATGGAGTGGTCCACCTCAGGGGCAGAGGGCCCCCTCTCTGTAGAAACCCAATAAGAGACCCCCTTGCAGGGTGCAGGGAGGGCTCAGATGGATTTCAGACTCCATCATGGTGACATGCCAAACGCTCACCACTCTAGCACTGGAAACACCAACACCCTGTGAGTCACTGTCCCCATTATACAGATTAAATGAGTGAGTCCAAACTTGTGTTGGATGGCCTGGGAAACCTGTAACACAAACAGTTCTCTGGACCCCATGTCAGAGCCACCAAAGCAGCCACTTGGCATGGGAGGGCCCAGAATCTGCATGTTTCACTGTGTGGCAAGATACTCATGACCAAAGTCACCATTTTAAAGTGCACAGTTCAGTCGCATGAAGAGCCTTTACACTGTTGTGCAACCGTAACCGTGGCCACGGTCCACCTCCAGAACATTTCCATCTTCCCAAACTGAAACTCTGCACCCAGCAGACTTTAACTCCCTGCTCTCCCCTCCCCCCAGCCCAAATCTGCATTTCCCCCAGCTCCCCAAGCTACTCTGGTGCCAGCAGCCAGGTCCACCCCTCGGGAGCCTGGACTTCTCAACCTTCAGGCCTCTCCTTATCTTCTCTCCAAGGCTCTCTGCAGACCTGCAGACCCGCACCCCCACCCCCAATCAGCCAGATGGAGCCCAGCATGGTCCCAGCCCCTTAGAGAAAAGTTCATCCAAACAAGAAACTTGAGGCTCCAAATGGTGTGACTCACCCTCATGGCTGGGAAGTGCAATTTCACAAATAACAACCCTCTTATTTTCCCTTTTCTTTCTTTTTTTTTTTTTTTCTGGAGAAGAGTTAAGCAAGTCCACAGGAATCAGATCTGTTTGGGCAGTGAATGTCAAGAGGAAGGGGAAGTTCGGTGGATGTCCAAAAGTGCACTAATCACACCCTGGAAAAAAGTCCTGTCCCCACCTTGAGGCCATGCTCCCCTGCTCACAGTGGCCCCTCGGGCATCCCGGGCAGCCAGAGGCCTCTGAGCAGGCTGCCCTGGCCTGGCAGCTCAACCCCCACCCACCCCACCGTAGAGTCACAGCTTCACCCCTACCCAGAGACTGCTCCACAGGCAGAGAAGGGAGATCCTCTCGGCTCCCCGACCTCCAGTGTCCTCTAGTCTATCCCCAGGGACTGTGCAGCTCTCTGTCCCTAGCCCAATTCAAGACAAACACCACCTATAAGCTGAAAGGATAGAGTGCTCAGCCGACCTGACTTCATCCCCATGTTACAGATGGAGAAACTGAGGCCCAGAGAGGCAGCAGAGGGAGGCAGACCCAGCCATACAGGGCAGGGAGGGCCGCCTGCCCAGCCAGTGCAGGGCGGGCGGGGCAGCGGGTGGTTTCCTCTCCAAAGCCCTGCTTGAGCTCAGGCCATGGAGGTGAAAGGCGAGTCCTGGCTGTTTCCCGGCCTGCAGGGACTGGACAGAGCAGAGGTCAGGGCCTAGCCTCTTGGGTTTCCCATCTGCAAAACATAAAATGGAGCAGCAGGAAGGAGGGCACATTGGACTGTCCCTACGGTCCTGAGATCTTTGGGTACACACAGCAGGTCCTGAGGGATGCCCCAGAGTGCAACATGCTAAAGACACCCATCCTGCCATCTGCAGGTGGTCGATAAAGCGGGCACAGAAGCCTCCATCAGTCGATCCCACCTCTGCAACGGCCAACTGGCCCTGTCAGGGTCCCCACAGGACAACTCTGCTTTTCTCCCTGTGGCTCTGCACACGCTGCCGCTTCCCACAAAGCTCTTCCACTCAAGCGCCCTGGGACTTAGCTCCAGGTCTGGCTCCCATCGGCCTTCCCCACCCCTCCCCTTGATTCAGGCCTCAGACTCCAGGAACAGGGTGCAAATGAGGCCTTGTTGCCCGTGTGCTGCTGTTCTCCTCCAGGGACCTCCCTAGGCCCTCAACCCTGCCCTGACTCTGCCTGCAGTTGACTCCAAGGCTCTGATCTCATGTCTCCTCATGTCCCACAAAGCTGGATGTCCCCCAAGGCAAGATTCTGTGTCTTCTGCACCCCAGGGAGCAGATGATTTTTGCTGCTCCTTACACCTGTTACTGTCCTGGGTGCAGCAGAGTCCAAGGTGGGGAAGGGCCCGAGAGCCCCACTGGCCTGGTGAGGTAACACCTTGAAGGCTTTAGGCTGGGCCTCAGAGTTTTCGTGAACTGGTTGGGCTGCTCTGGGCACTGCTGGACATCAGCCCCACATGATCAGCCCCACATGCTGGGTGGAAGCTTCCAGGATGTTGCCAGCCTTTGAAAAGAGGCCACATCTCCTTCCTCCCTGGGTCAGTGACCCCATCAGCTAGCAGCAGAAAGCCTGGGGACCTTACATCATATATGGGGGACTGAGTATCACACTCCTGCCTGTTATTGGGACTTCTCCAAGGCTCTCACTTGACTGATGGGTAAGATCAGATGGGATGACACTACAGTTTGTTCTAATTGTACGGAGTGTGAGTACTTAACTAGATCTTTTCCTTCATTTCCCTTTGCCTGGCAAGAACACATTTAGGTGAGCCAGGTTGGTTTTATTGTACAGAGCTGGAAACTGAGGCTCAGAAAGGCTGAGTAATTTGCCCAAGGTAGCACAGCCAATATGTGTTGGCCTATTATATTTCAGCTTCCATGTAGCCTCTGAGGCTTGGCTTTCCCGACAGGAAGGGGAGCCAGAGGAAAATGCCAGGTGTGACATCCTATGCTAAGCCCCTTGGCCCTGGCAAGATGAGACACCAGCTTTTCTGGGCTGCCTGAGAGTTTTGGACCCCAGAGATGGTGACTGCACTGTGGAATATGGAGCTCAGAGGCAGAGATTTCCAGGGCTGACTCCAGGCCTCACCAGAGCCTGCCAAGCTGGGGTTGTACCCCAGGGACAGAGGGAGGGCGCCGTGGAAGGTGAGGGCAGGCAGGAGCTGGCAGAGGTGGGAAGAGGACTCTGAGAGGAGCCCAGAGGGAAAAGAGCTGCATAGAGATGGGCCGAGAGACAGGCAGGGACAGCAGGGACAGCAGGCAGAGCTGGGGAGCAGCACTGCAGGAAGGTGAGGGCGAGCCCTGCAGTGCCCAGGGCCTGGATGTGGGCAGAACAGTGCCGAAGAGCCAGGCAGAAGCAAAGCTGAGTTGCCCCAGCTCACAGGAAGCTCCTCTGACAGCAGACCACTGCTCTCTTACTCCCCCAAACCACCCCACGCCCCTCACCGCAGCACGCACACACCCATGCTCCTGCCTCAGACAAGACATCATTCATTTCACAAATGACTCACCCCTTCTCCCAAGGGGACCTGCATTTCTTCTATCCCTAGGGCCCGTCTGGAGTCAAGCAA